TAGACATACTTTTGATACATTTAGCTGTTCTGCTTTGCTCAAGCTGTGGAGGAGCCGCATGTCTGGCTCACTGCTGCCAACTAGTGGTCAGAAGCTGAACTACAACATAAAAATGAACGGCTGGCAGGAAAGTTGACATTTTAAACCTTAATAAAAATCGATACAGGGCTTTAGAATATCGATACACTATCGGGAAATGAAATATCGCGATATTTCAGTGTATTGATATTTTCTTACACCCCTAGTCATGAACAGGAAAAAACCATAGATAAGTCATAGAAAAGTGGCAGGACAGACATTTAATCTGGAATAACAAAATAACACAGAGCATAGCTCCTGCATGGGATGCTGAATTGTATTAATTAACAGAGATGACCGAGGAGAGAGTAACTTTACATGAATTGTTTGCAAATATTACAACTTCGTTCTTCACACAAGTTCAACTAAACAACATTCACAGCAAAGCGTTCAGAATCCAGGTGTCCCAGAACACTGGGCYGCTCACCGGCTGCGCGCTCCTCCCCACCTGGAGACAGGTGGAGGAAACGCCAGCCCGCACCGTCGAAGCTGGAAGCAGAGTCGTCCGAATGTGGCCACACCCACCACGCTTCCTGCTACAAACAAACAAACATAAGACATGCCAACCACAGCCTTAGAGGGCTAAAAGCACTCCGACAAAAAGTCACAGGCAGGATGACACTAAACCACACAAACGTGTGCTTACCTGCAGAAGCCGATAAGATCCGAAACACGGACTTACGGGAGCGATTAACCTGCGAAGCACGCCAGGTAAACCGCGAGAATATCAAAGAGACCGAACGTAACCACCTGCGTGCTATTTATAGACTCACGCTCAGGTGAGCTACGTGTTATGTACGCAACTTTTTTTTACATTAAATCTCGACCTGCGCAGAGTGCGAGAGGACATATCCACTTTGTTTAACTGCCACTGGCAGTCAGGAAGGAATGAAACAGAACCTCTGCTTTTTGACAGTCCCTCACGAGCTACTCATTCATTCGTTCCAAACTTTCTGCTAACAACAACAAAGTAACAAAATTACTTAGGCTAATCACAAGCCTAGAGCACCATACTCCTTGGTTCATTTCAGAATCAATCAAAAAATGCATCATGAAGAGAAAATACAAAACAAATACAAGTCGCTCCAGAGTAAAAGACGCAGGACAAGTCAAACTATGAAAAAAACTGTGACTAATAGTTTGAAAAATACAATACATCCTTCTAAGAATCTGTACTGCCCTCCTCACTGCAAGAATCCTCCTGATCCTCCACTACAAATGCTGCAAAGATTTATATCTATTTGCTGTATAACAAAATACAATATCATTTAGAAATTTGAAGCAAAAACATTACCTATAGCTAGTGGTTTCTATGGCACCCTTTGATGATGATGTCCCTCCTTCTGGGTCCGAAAGTAAAATCTGTTTCTCAAATCATAAAAAAGTAGATTTGTGAAAATAAACAAAATATACTACTGTTAGAATATAGAACACTTCAAAAAGTAGAGGTGCAACAATACATGTGTCTGTATCAAACCGTTCAATACACACTATGTATGGAACAATACAGATATTTYGAATTTTATTTTATCAGCTTGTCTTCTGAAGATGCTCTGGGCTGAAGGCTCAGTGGATCTGTGTTCGACTACTCCACCCAGGCTGCATTGTCAAGCACAGATCCACTGAGAAACTTGCTGTTTCGGCAACATTTAAGTAAAAAAACTTACTTTTGAGGTTAAACAAATGTTCATAATTAATTTCAATAAATTACAAGTTAAGAAGGACATTTTTATCAAAAAAATATCAAACCATGACACTAAAGTATCAAACCGAATTGTGAATTTTCTGTATCGTTGCACCTCTATTAAAAAATAGTTCTGTAGATATGTAGGTCAATGTGCTGCATGACTTAAAGGTGTCAGTATTATCAAAAATATCTACATGTGACTAACATACAATAATGTGAAGGAACTGAATATTACCTCTTCCAAATCAGTGCGTGGCACTCTGTTCTCACTGCTGGTACAGTTCAAAGCATGATTCCACTGCTGGAAATAAATATTGTAGAACTTGAATTAAATTGACAAACTCTATGCTGAATTAATTTTGTTACTGTTGTCATTGTAATAAATGAGATTTTCATGAAACCACTTCGGTAACAGTAGCCCTTTTTTTAAAATATACTGGCTCCAGCTGTAAAAAAACAGAGTTGTGTTTTCTACTTACCACTGTCTCAGCTGCATTGAGCTCTACAACGCTTCTGCTTGTAATGATTGCTTCTGAATTTGATGCGTTTGAGCTGGACAGATCTGTCAAGATGAGACATAAAATCACATTACAGTATGAATTCTGAGTAAACACATATTTTTGTTCAGTTATCAATTGTTTGAATCACTTACAATGGGTAAAATAATCCTCTTCTCTACAAACGTATACTGTGATGCGATGGTAACCCTTCCCCACTGCATGTTTGAAACCTTTCAGAGTGAATGGCTTCTGTGTTCCTGGAATGTTGATTATCCTTGTGCCATCAGGATAGAGTAAAAAACAGGAAGCATTTTCCAACTCTTTATGGAAGCCCTTCGCTTTTTGTACCKCAGCTTTGTGCAAACCCTCAGCATCAACCTCTGGATTCACTGCAAGGGGGAGGGCTGATCCTCTTACAGGTTTTAAGGTTCCATTCCCAGAATACATAAGGGCAACTGAAATCTATACACATACACAGATTAAAGCACATTAAAAAATGTCCTGATGCATCTCAGTAATCCAGGTAAAAAATCAAAAAGAAAAAAATTGTACAGGTCTTCTGGACGAGTTCTTCTCTAATGAAACGTTTCGTCTYTCCTCCAAGAGACTTCTTCAGTCTG